CTCAGGTAGGGACATTTGTATGGCTTGGATGTGAGCTGTCCCCAGTCCCCCCTCTCTGCAGTGGGGGCCAGATCAAGGTTGTTAAGGACAAAACAGCCAGGCCAGACATGCCAGTGTTGTGGGAGATGGGTTTAGGGGTGTACCAGGATGAGCATGTGGGCAAGGGGAGAAGGGCAGGGAATGGGGACTGCCTCTAGTGTGACCAGGATGGGGACCAGGCAGGGCCAGCAATATCTGCACCACCTCCCTCCGCCATTCCTGCAAAAAAAAATGGTGATCTCTCAGCCCCATGAGAGGCCAAGAGGCAGACTACAAAGGGACTGTGGAAGCTGCAGGACCAAGACTAAGCCCTGCTGTCAACACCCTGGCAGGAGTTTCAAGCCCTATTTTCCCCAAAAGGCAGCCAAAGGGTATCTGGTCTCTTCTAGGTACATATTCCTCCTTGCTGGAGGATGTCTCCTTGCTGGTACAGCCATGGGCAGTTACGCTGTGTTGCTCCTTATCCCTGCTGCTGGCTCTGTGCTCATCCTCCTCTCCGTCAGCCCAGCTCGTGCCCACAACTGGGTCTTCACCCTCCAGATGTCCTGGCAGACACTCTGCCACCTGGGTCTGAGCAGCCAGGAGCTGGACCCACAGGATGCCAGGTAAACCCCCCAGATCTGCCTCCTTCCCGCTCCTCCCCTCGGCAGGTTGGGGTCCACCCTGTGCAACCTGCTGTAGGCGAACCTGCTTTAGCAGGGAGGTTGGACTGGATGATCTCCAGAGGTCCCTTCCAACCCCTACCATTCTGTGATTCTGTGATTTTGTGAGGGTGCAGGGCCCCCAGGCCGCACTGGCATGTTGCTTCCCAGTCGTCAGTCTCCCCTCTGGCTCCGGCTGCACCCCCATGTGTGGGTGACTTCTACAGGCATGGCAGTCCTCTGGGGATGTGGGACAGCACATCCCCTGTGTGCGGCCTTGTGCCCATGCCTCTAACACTCCCTTCGAGGGACTCTCAGCATCTCTCAGGTGCCCTCTCCTTCCAGGCCAGCCGTTGCCCTCTCTGCCATCATGTTGCTCACCCAGAAGGCTACATCTCTGGCCCTGGACATCCACGAAGGGCTCGTGCAGCTCCCTCTGGACCAGGGGCTTTTGCAGCGTGCGCTGCCCCTCTGCAGCTACCTGCTCTTTTTCCCGGCCCTCCTCGGAGGCCCGCTGTGCTCCTTCAGCAGGTTTCGGGCCCGGGCCGAGTCCTGCGGTGCTCTCCCCTGCCCGCTGAGGGCCGCCAGCCAGCGGTGCCTCTGTGCGCTGGCCCTGCAGGGGCTGCACAAGGGCTGGCGGGCAGGCAGGGCTGCGCCGGCCTGGGCTGCCTGCCCCACGCCTGGGCCCGGGCCCTGCTCCTCAGGCTGGCCTACTATTTGCACTGGGTGCTGGATGAGGCCCTTCTCGAGGTGGCGGGCTTTGGGCCAGAGGCTGGCGGGGGAGACCTTTCCACCCATGACCTGTGGACGCTGGAGACCACCCACCGCCTGGCCGTCTTCACCCGGACCTGGAACAAGAGCACGTCCCGCTGGTTGAGGAGACTTGTCTTCCAGCGCTGCCCGGCCCAGCCGCTCCTAGCCACCTTTGCCTTTTCTGCCTGGTGGCACGGCCTCCGGCCCGGACAGGTCTTTGGTTTCCTGTGCTGGGCTGTCATGGTGGAGGCTGACTACCGCATCCATCCCTTCCTTAGCGCCCGGGCCACCTCTCAGAGTGTGAAGCTTCTCTACCGTGGCACAACCTGGGTCTTCACGCAGCTCATCGTTGCCTACATCCTGGTAGCTGTGGAGACTGAGAGCTTCTCTGTGCTTTGCTTGCTCTGGATGTCCTGCAACAGCATCCTTCCCCTCTCCTATGGCCTCGCGCTGCTGCTGCTTGCCAAGAAGCTGAAGCAGAACTAAGGCTGTCCTGGGCTAACTTGTGCAGCTGGTGAGGCACATTCCTGCACACATGAGCACACAGGGTGAGAAGTGCTATGGGCCAACCAACTCTGGAGAACCAGGTTGGCTTTTACTCCTGTGATATCCCCTGGCTTTGAGGGATGTTCTGAAGCAGGGAGGCAAGGTCACCAGATGACTGGGCAAGAGGGCTTCTACAGCCCAGTGTTTTTCTTGGGGCTTTGGGTCTCAGCCTCATCTCACGTAGGGAACACACAACCTCCTCACCAAACTCATCTGTGCTACAAATGCACTAGTCAGCAACCATGTCCAGCTGCTGGGAATTTGTCCTCCATGACAACAGCAGGCACTGGCAGAGAGCTGCCTTGCCACCTTTCTTGTATGCGTGGACCACTAGGAGCCTTGGCACAGGGAAGGGGGCTGAGAGTATGTTTGAGGGCAGCACAAGACAAGAAACACCCCTTTCCATACACAGCAGTACTACCCAGATGCATGGGTCTGTGGTGCTCCTCCAGCGATTGCTCCTCAGCAAGGTCCCTGTGGCATGTGGACCTCAAACTTTGTTCCCTGCAATACCTGCCCCCACCAAGTGGGTGAAATGCTTGGCCCCCAGGGCGCAGGGTCAGCTGTCCCCTGCCACATGGGGAAGAGGGATGATCCATCCTTTTGGAGAGGATCCTGGGCACCCTGCTAGGAAAAGGGGGGGGGGGGCTATTGCCCATGGTGTGCTGAGGACAGCACGTGCAAGGGGCAGTAAGCCAGCAAAGTCCTTGGACTTGGCTGTGGCATTCAGCTGAGGCTTAGGTGTCACTTTCCCCACAAAGACACACAGCAGAAACCCTAATGCGCTTCTCCAGTTCATGCATTGGCCTAGGACCCCAAAAGCCTAGGACTGTTTGGGTTGGAGAAGAAGCACAAGCTACCATAGGGGAAGGTGTCAGAAAAGCGTGGAGCCAAGAGTTCCTGTCTGTATGAGAGTAAGAAACCACCTACCAAATCTCAGAATAATACAGCTGGACATGCTACAAGACTATCGTTGGCCTCTGGTCTGCTGGACATGCTGCTGCAGGGTACCAGGACCAACACCACAACCAGTCTGAAGTGCCCAAACTCAGGGGAAAGCATTTTGATCAGGTTAACATGGCACGCCATCCAGGCGCTCTGCCAATACCTGTATGAGCGTTTGTCACTAAACAGAAACTCACCAAATGCAAAATGGATCCAACCTTGCTTCATGTGGTTGGTTGGATGTTTGGCTACTTGAGTCCTGCTGACTACCCAACCCAAGCCTTGCAATCCACTTGCCCCATATATAATCTTCCCATAGCCAGCACAGCTTGCATTCGTCATGGCCAGGCCCTGTCTCCTTCGGTGCTGTCCTGCAAAGCTGCCTCCAACTTATTCCCTATATCCATGCTTAGAAACTGAATCATGTCTTCATCTTATCTCTGAAAAACATGCTAGGCTCCAGGCAGGTTCTCCAGCTGTTTAATCACTCTGCTGTCCCATGTGAGACCACATGCAGTAAGCCAAGGCCAGACTTCCCAGGGCAATGTGTCCAGGATGGTCCACAGGACAGTGGTTCCTAAGCCAGAAGGCTTCTGCCACCTATGCTGGAGCAAAGTGGACCCAAGAGTCAGACACGAGAAAGCCAGCGTGTAAAAAAATCCCTGACGACTGCAGTTGGAGTCATCCCACATTCTTTCAGCAGGTAAGGACATGCATGGCCTCCTCCCTAAGGGGATCAGGGGAAATTCATTGAGAATGGGTGCCCAGCCAAGGAACCATCCCCTCCCATCAGCAGCAACCATAGCCAAACAGACAAAAAAAAAAAAAAATCCAGGTGAGAAGCCTGGAAAAGATTCACCAGAAAGTGTCTGAAGTGTCAAAAAACTGGGGAATTAAAATCCCTCCAAGAGAACAGGCTGGATCTGGAGGTGAATCAAGGCTTGAAGAAAATGCTCATGAATTTCTCCCCGTTTTGAGCTGGGAAGTGGGGTAGCTCAGCTAGTGACATCCTGCCTCAGCTGAGCTGATGCTGGGCTCTCTCCATGGGTCCCAGACCTACCGCTTCTCCAAGGGCTGCAGAACTGGTGCCAGGAGCAGGGCAGTTTATCTCTGCCTCGTGTTGGGGTAGAAGAGTAAAAGCAGCCCATAACCTTTTGGAAAATCAGTTTTTCTGAGCAGCAGCATGGCCTCTCTGCCAGTGTGAACAGCTGCTGTACGTCTGGATGGAGGGAAAGGGGCTGGAGGGGGCCAGGCCAGCTTCTCCCTCTTCCATTGTGCTATTCTTGCATTGCATCTGTTGGAGGAGCATGTTTGCAGGGCACCCAGGCCTATGAATTCATAATTCAACCACCAGCAGAAACAAGACCCTCCCAGATCAGAGACCAGCAGCGCTGGCTTTTCACATGCCAGCTCATCTCTTGATAAAGGGGTTAAATACATGCTAGACACAAGGGACAGGTGAATTACCAGGTGAAGGGAGGGAGCTGGAGGGATGGGGAAAGCAAAGCAACCTGGCCCTGACTCTCCCCCGCAAGGCTTTGGAGATGAATTGGGGATTTTCCATTTCATTAACTTTACAAGGGGTAATTCCCAGCATGCAGCATCATCCTCATGAACAGACCCATCCTGGGCTCTCTCTCACCCTTTCACAATCAGCAGCCGATGTGGCTGCACCACTAGACAGGAAAACCATGCTGTAATAGTATCTAACGAAGGTAATGGGCAACTGATATTGAATTGCCCACAGTGGAAAATACAGCTGATGACACAGAAACAAGCAGTAATTTTTGTTTTTAAAGTGAGAAGCAAAATGGATGCCAAAACCCACAAAAGATGCAAATATGAAAGCCCCTCCTGGTTCTCCCTTGCAAAGGAGCATTACAGGAATTGCTCTTGCTCCCCAGGAGAAGCAGCCAACTGTTCACCTGCCACCCACTCTGGAGAGCAGTGGTGTTCCCAGGCAAAAAGGCTGTGACGCTTTAGGTGGAGTGGGGATCAAAGAACTGTCCCACAGGCACAGAAATCAACTCAAGTACATGGAGTTCATTAGAAACATGCACACACGCAGGCAGGAGTTTATTAGTCCACAGACTTTACCATACCAAAAAAAAAAAAAATTAAAAAAAAAATCCCCCAAAATAGGGGTAGGTTCCCAGTTTTGCCTGCGCACAAATTGACAGTGCTGAGGGTGCTAAACCTGTCTTGTGCACTCCGATTGGAGTGTGGGGCGGGAGCTGAACGTGCATTTGCAACTGAGATTCAAGCCTCTCTCGTGTAAAGGGGCTGCGTGCCTGTAGCTGCAAGGCAACCGGGACCCCTCAGCTGCCTCCGAGATACATCCAAGGTCAGAGCAGCTGCAGCAGTTTTAATGTGTGTGAGAGGGAGGCTGGCTCAGCAGATGCTAAGTACTGACAGCACAGCCAGTCCTCCAGTTCAATGCTCCGCTCCGTGTCCACAGCCCTCTCTGCAAACTTCATCATGAGCAGGGCACGCTTCATATCCACCCAGTTCTGAAGCACCCGGCGGAGAGCTTCCTCGTGGCTGAGGGGCTGCTCAGTGAGGTCTTTCCGGGGCCCCCAAAGCAGACACTGCAGCATGCGCTTGGCCTCGGTGATCCGCACACGCTTGATGGGATCTGCTTCCAGTAGCAGGTGGGCCAGCTGCTGAAGCCCGCGGGAGTAGATGGACAGGCTGGGCAGAGCAGGGAGGTCCTCAGGGCTGTACTCCTGCTCCCTGAGGTGCACCTTCTCCTCAAAGGGGTTGGGCTGGTGCAGCAGCTCGTAGATGAGAATACCAGTCTGAAACTCGTCAAACTTCTTGTACTGAGAAGCCGACACAATCTCCGGGGCCAGTCGGGCCTGACTCTTCTTCAGTTTGGAGTCTCCAGTTCCTGGCTTCTGTTTGGCTTTCAAAAAATTGCTGATGATGAGGCGGGGTAAGTGTTTGTCATCTTTGGCTTTCATACAGCTCATGGGGGGCTTGCAGGGGACAAGCAGGAGGTTCTCCAGGCACAGGTCACGATGGATGATGCCGTGTTCTTTGAGATGCTCCAGGCCATTGCAGAGCTGGAGGAGCAAGAAGCAAACGCGACGTTCGTACAGCTCGGGCTTGGCTTGGTGCAACATCACTGAGTCCCTCACGAAGTCAGCAGTGGTCTGACTCGGCACCTCCCGGGTGATGACCACCACACAGTCGTGCTCGCTAGCGGTGCGGGAGGGATGGAGGCCATCCCCAGGCATGCTTTTCCCCACATCTGAGGCCAGCAGCATGCTGGAGGGGACAGAGGCCACAAAATGCCCACAGTCCTGCTGGATGTTGAAGTGGACTGGCACTGCAGGGCTGCAGTATGAAGCAGCCACCTTGGACTCCTGCGTTTTACAAATCTGTGGGGGCAGACCAGAAGAAATGTCTCATCAGTCAGTGACAGGGACAAGGCAGAGACCAGAATTTCAGAGGTGGGTTCCTAAGCTGAGATTTGCAGATGCTAAGGAAAGCATCTGTAGAAGCAGGATGCGCTTTGGTCCCTTTAGTACTTTGAACTATGTTCTGGCTTCAGGATCTTTCTTGTCCTGCACCACCCAACCTTAGCAACCAAATGTCTGGGTCACGTTTCTGGGCATGCTTCCTTTACCAGGCAATGCCCAGGATTTGCGGGAAAGGAGGAAGGTAGCCTCCCATGAGTAACTTCTAGAGATTTTGTTTCCTTGCCAACAGAAGCGACATAGCTTTTACATCATGTGATACCCTAACATAGCCTAGCTAGATGGAAGTTTTCACAGGAACATAATTGTTTTGTACTTGATGCATAATCTTTTTGGTAGTCACTCTGTCCTTGGTACATGTAGCCTCAAAACTCTAGCACAACATCCTGTCCTTGATGCGTGTTTGTTGTAGTAGTAATTTCGTTATTTTAGTACATGTGAACAGATAAGGAGCTGAGAAATATCCTTCATACTGGATGAGACCAGCCAACTGAGACAAGGAGGTACACCACCTGGAATACTCTTCACTGGGCAGACTCCAGAAAAAGGTGGACTCTATGTAAATGATTTCTTGGAAAAAATATGAATGTGTATGAAAAATATGGGAAAACTATGCATATGTACATTATTGAGTAATGTAAATTCCACTAGTTGCTACATGCAGTATACATGCTAGGTGGAATTATCCCCGTGCACCCGGCGCCATAGATAAAGAATGCCTGCCTTCTAAAACTTCAAACTAAGCCTTAGAGGGTTCTTCTGCAACCGATTTATATGGTGTCACATGGATGTCATCGAGATTCCCCCTGCAACCCAGGAGACATTCTGTAGAGGGAAAAGCAAAGCCTGTGGCAGAAGACGTGCCGCCTCCATCTCTGGAGATGGTTAACACTTGCCTGGATGAGGCTCCATGCGACATGACGTGGCTGCTGCGAGGGTGGCCTTGTTTGGAATGAGGGGTGGACAGAAACCTCCAGCACTTTCTTCTCACCTAACCCTTCTCTGGTTCTAAGCTCTGGAGTCACTCACATCCTCCTCAACCACTCTGCTTCCTTGTGTCAGTGACTACTCTCAAACCTCCGATCAATGGCTAAGGGAAACCAGCAACTAGCTGTACTCATCAGCACAGGGGAAAAACACCAGCGAGGAAGTGGGAACAAACAACAGGTTTAGAAATAAGTGAGAGTACAGCAAACTCGAGAGAAAAAAGCTTTTTATAATCTGGATTTTCTTAAACCCACATGACTATTCTCTTTATTTTGTTCTGTGTTTTAGCTTTATGTCTGCATTAAAGACTACACAAACTCAAACCCAGGTTTATTATAGGAGTATCCATTAGCTTATGGGGCCTTCTGGCATTTCTATTATATACTTTTTTTTTTTTTTCCCCTTTTACTTAGCAATGTGTATATATATCTCACCCACAGGAATCAGCAACAGGCTGAAACTCAGCATAAGAGGTTTCAAACCCTGGAGCGTGCCACTGCCAGTCACAGCATGCGTGCAAAATCGGACAAGAAATCAATTTTGCCTCCGAGTTAAAATAAATGCAAGAATAGAGAGGAGCTGAAGAAGTGGGCTGCTTTTGTATTCCTCTAGCAAGGGTCTGAATCTAGGCATTTGCAGGTAATTCACTCAGATGAGACGATACTGTGGAGATGGAGCATTTAAAATCCCTATTGTCCTCTCTTTTCTAAACAAAAATACCCTGCTATGGCTGCATGCTTATTCTGTGGAAAGACAAGCTTTGGAGATCCAGGCAGACTGCAGATTAATGCAGCAGGACACAGGAAGACATAGAAAGTCCCCAAAGGCGGAGGGAGGCCTTCCAGCCCTCTGCCAAACAGGCATGCTTGTTCCCCCCCACATAGGGAAGACATGTAAAGCTTAGGAAAAAAAAGAAGGAGCTCTCTGGAAGACTTAACTGCAACCAAACAAAGACAGGGAGATCGTCCCCGGCCAGCCATTCTTCGTGACTTTGGCTGCACCAGAGGCACCCTCCATGCAGCAAGCTCCAAGTAGCAGCCTGGGGCTGGCTTAGTCACACATCTCTAAGCAGAGAAAGAAGCCAAGGCATGGAGCACACCTTGTCTTAATTCCTCTAAAGCCATTTCACGTAACCCTGGCTCCTGCTGTTTCTGCACAGCCCAGACTCCAGCCCCTGCTCCTCAGCAGACTCCTTGGCTCAAGTCAGATCTTGCGCTCTCCAACTCTAATTTTAAGTACAGGACTGTGAGCTCTTCCATGTCAGAAAATCTGTACCAGAAGCCAGGAGGGGCAGATAGGAATCGGCCAGTTGTAAAGTTTCATAATTATTCTCAACTTTGGCTACCAAAATGAAGGTGGCACACAGGAACACTGCAGGAGGCGTGTGCATGCATGTGTGTAAACACAACTTCACTTTACGCTGGTGCAGAGTATGGCCCTGTTGCAGAGGTTTTGGCTTTGTTAAGGCGCTCTGCAGCGTGCCAAGGGCACAGAGTAAGCCCACATCACACGCAGGGACACAAGTGCAGTTGTGTTAAGGGACTGAAATGTGCTGTTTCTGCCTTGGCAAGAATTCATGCAGTACAGCCATAGAGCTGAGCCTCTGAACCCCACCTTACACGGCAGGCAAGAGCAAAGGTGTGTGCCTGCCACAGGGAACCGCAGATTGAAAAGGAGCACACCAGTTCACCATGCAGTTCTCAGGTTTCAGGAGGAAAGTTGCAATGGATTTAGGTATAACACACAAGAGAAGCTGCAGTGCTGAGTGCTGGACTAGGGGTACTGGTGCAAGACCTCATCTAACTCCATTCTGGTTATTTACAGCCGCCCGGTTGGGTTAACCATACTTCCTTGAGAATATAAACTGGCTTTAAAGCTATCACTTAACTAAAACATCCCCTTGGGGTTCATAATGGTGGAAAAGATTCAGCAGAGTTTGGGGTTTTTTTTTCCTTGCTTAATGCATCTCTGACAGTGCTCTTTTGGGAATTACTTTAGGTTTTGAAAACAACCTGAAGAGCAAGCAGCACTGAGACGCCCCTAGGGTTACGTCAGAGTAGAAATTAAAGGCTCTGTATTGAAGTGGTAACATGGGTCAAGAGCCCCAAATCCATGGGATGTCCATGGAACGGGTTGGATAAGCTTATTTATCCGTGTTTCAAAGAGCTGAACTATTGCACCTCAAGTTTCCATTTCAAACACGGATTCTGTAGAGTTACAGGAAAATATTGCAGACCTGACCTTGCACAGCATGTCTGGGTCAGCCTCATATTGTTTAATCGAGATCTGCAATATCTTAATGCCTGTAATTTCAAGATGATATAAGCACTCACATGGTTTCTGGGTCAGACCTTCCACTTAAAAGGCAGACAGAGGCAAAAATGTTCTTTTGAACAGCCTTTCACCAGCTTGTGCCATAAGAGGCAAATGCCTCTGAATTTACAACTTGGTATTTGCACGAAGATTTTTTTGAGAGGGAAACTGGTGGGTTTCAGACCCTACTAGTCTGCAGCAATAAGCATCTGACTGGCATTTGTTAAACAACTTCAAATTAACCTTTGCAAGCAGTAGGGGAAAAGTGGCGATTTTGGAAGGGGTTTTACTTGCCAGACTTCATCTGTGAGAAAGACAAGCAGAGAAAACAGGCCACTGTGTGCTGAGGGTGCTTCTCAAAGGTGTACCGCTAGGTCTGCTTCCCACTCCTTCATTCAGAGCCATACACCAGAAAGGGGGAGAAAGAAGCTCAGAGGTTCAGTCCCAGCTCAGCTACGGACCCCCACGCAGCCTTGGACCCTGCAGCTCCTTGCCTCATCCTCCCAACTGGAAGATGGAGATAAGCCTGGATACCTCCTGGGTGTGGGCTTACCTTCACAGCATAGGTGGTAGAAGGGTCCTTGGAGCAGGTGGCACAGTAATATATCGCATCCCCCGAATCGCAACAGGGCTTGTTGCACGCCAGCTTGAAGAGCGACCAGTTGTTCTCGCTGAAGTGCAGCTCATTCTTCTGCTCCCGCATGAAGCAGTCCTCACATTTGGCAACCAGGCGGCGCAACGACTCGGCGTAGAGGGCCCCCAGCTTGGCGTACACCCCCTCCTTGCTGTCAATGTTGCTCAGGAGGTTGTGGAGCTGGAGGCTGGAGCCCGATGACACCTGGCTGGACACACTGAGCTGCGAGGAGGAAAGGGACTGGAGGTTTCTGCTGGGGATGCAAGCCCCTGTGCTCTTACCAGTGGCAGAGCCCCAGTAGCTGTTTCCTCTGGAGCCTTTCTCCAGGGACTCGGAGGAGGAGAAGGCGCCGGGGCGGCCCCCGAGGCTGGCCGGGTGGACAAAGGCAGTCTCCTCTCGGAGGCAGACATTGCTCTCGGAGTGGCTGACATTCAGCCCGGTGCTGGCAGCACTGGCTGCTCTGCCTGAAGACACCTGTCCCCCAAAAAAGCCGTCTGGGGAAGACACCGTTCTGCTCACTGTCTTCTTCTGGGGCAGAGGGGGTGGGCAGCTGGGGGCAGAGGAGGGACCATCCTCACTGGAGGCAGGAAGGAAAGGAAGAGGGGGAAACACTTGGCTCTCAGCTGGAGGGGGCGAGTGGTTCAGCTCAGACGAGTGCCCTAGGAGACAGCAACACACAAGAAGATGACATGAGTGACCCTTGCAGGCTGGGAACGCAGGTCCCTCTCCATGTCCCTGCCACCTCTGCCAGAGCCCTGGCTGGGAAAAAAAGCAGCAAGCCAGGTTATGTCTGAACCCAGCACACCACACAGTCCTCATCTATTCATGACTGCAAAGCTTCACTGAATGGGTGAGGGATTTAATCCAGTTTAATACAGCAGGTTTGCAAGGCAGGCTGCAACCAGACATCTAGCGAAATACACACACACACCACCCCCCGGCCCCAAAACCACTCCCCTATGAACTGCATACACAATAGTAAAAACCTGGTAGAGGGTAAATATTTAAGCTATGATGTCATCCACAGAGAGGTAAGAATGAAACACTCAGGATATGAGAGGACAATCTCTTAAACACAGCCCGTTTCACCTGGGAACTGCCACCCAGTGCTTCAGCAGCACCGCGTGATAAGGAGAGAGTGACTCATGCTACACAGCTCCGGCCCTCCGGCTGTACCAGAGCAGCCCAAGAAGTATATTGAACCTGTCTCTCTGCCTTGCACTGGGTAAGGGTCACTGGGCAAGGCCTGGGATTTTGGCAATTTCCATCCTCCTGAAAAAATCTGGCCTCCCCCTCACTGCCTGTCCCCCAGCTTACTGACAGACCTCTTTGCTCAGAGGGCAGCCTGGCCCCGATACATATGGCTACACTCCAAGCAGCTCCGCATGCCAGCTGCCCATGGGATGGCTGGCTCACTCCAGGGAGCTGTAGCAGCTGTTTTCCTACCCTGGCCAGACTGAAGACAGGTAATACAGCTGCATGTCATGAAAGAAGG